GCCTTTTAAATTACGTAGCCTGCACTGTGGTCTAAGTGAATATACACATTTCTCTTTGTGACAAACAAATATCTTCTAAGTGATGTCCCGCCATGTCACATAAAACACTTTTAGTGACATTTGAAATTGCAGAGAGTAATAGCTGGCAATAAAAGGTGAAGTATCATTTACAAAAAAATACATTTGTTATAGGTACTTTCTGATTGAATAAAGACATTTGAAATTACAGACAGGAAAAGGTGAAGTAGCATTTACGAACAAACATACGCTGACTTTATTTTCTGATTGAGTAAAACAAGGTTAATCTCATTTGCTGAATGAAAATGAAGGATGGAGACAGTCTTATTTTTATAACTCAAGTGTTCTGAAAAAGTTCATCATGCATTTAGTGATAACTTGAAAGTTGCCACACACACCAAGTTTTTCTGGACAAGTATCACTTGTTCAGATGTATAGACAGCATGTCTTCAGGAAACAAAATCTATTAACTCAGCAAAGGCAATTCTTTGGGGCTGCTTCTTGATTAGTTACGAGTTATACACACTCGAGCACAGAACAGTCAAATGGTTTGAAGCAGTTTGACTTTTTACCTTGGTTCCACCAGGCAATTCTCCCCACCTCCACTACGGCAATCAGCTGACACTCTCAGCCAATGAACTATTCCTATACTGCAAATCTTAGCTTAGGAGAGCTAATGGAAACTCGTAAGAAGGAGTTTAAGGCTTTCCCGGTGGCTGAGAGGAGGTGCGTAGCAGTGACCAGCAGACGTTCAGGCACTGATGGTAACATGTTCATCATACTTTTTTTATGAAGGACATTTTGTTTTGTTTTTTTATTTGTCTGCGCTACCACATTCAATCCAGCCAGAAGGCATCTTAGTTTAATATTTTTAATATAATAATAATAATAAAGTAAGGAAAATAATAATATTTAATGAGGAAAATATATTAAAATAAATCGGCTTTTTGCTAGTTTTCACGTGGATACCAAGTTTTCTGGTATTTATTTTATTAACCTAATAAAGATGGCAGGTGGAACAAATCAAGCAATTCTCTGATTCTGTAAAATGGGAACCTTTGTGAAAGGATGTAGGCCTATAGGCCCAAAATATGTCTTCCATACAGGCTGCAATGACAGCACTGTATTATACAGATAACAGACTTATACTTGATTCTTTTGGGATGTTAATAATAAATAAGAATATGGATCATGGTTTAATCCACAAGTTATTTTTAAAATACCCTGTATCATCATGCTATATATTGTTTTACTATATTAATTAACGTATAGAATTAACTTACACGACAAATGTCATGCAAACATTGCTGTAAGTGTGCATTCCTTTTTTTTCTTTCCTTGAGGGAGATGTCTGTTACCTTGGCTTCTTCCCCATGTTCTTTCCACGTAAAAAGATTTTTGGCTGTTTGTTTTTAATGCTGAAAAGCTCATATATTTATGCAACGAATGTATTTCTTTATTCATTTTACTTTCAGTGTCCTAGCACATCACCTACTCTCCGCTCAAGCACTAAAAAGGTGACTTATACTGTCAGCGCCCCTATGCCATTAAAAGGACCCATGAAACCGCAAAGCCATTTAACTTTTATTCATCCATAGGGGCACTTTGGGAAGTGCCCTATCAGTTTTTATGCGCAGAAAAAAAATTATGTGCAGTAGTTTAGTACTACTAAGATTATTTTACTGGAGGGAAGGGTGGTAAGCCAAAAAAATATGGGGAAACAAATTGTCTCTTTAATTCTGTAATAATATGTTTCATAATAAGCTTACTTAAGAGCCTCTAGGCACGGCACAAAATTTGGTTGGTTTGAAATCTGCCCTGTTTCAGCAGGTTTTGCACATGCCTATTGTCCTTTAAAAAGGAATTTTAAAAATTGCCATTGAGTTGTCATTCGGGCAACAGAGCCAGCTGTCCATGAGTGAAGGCATGCTATTGGCCTCTCTATTCAGGGACCATCACTGACCCAGAGCACCAGGTCGTGGGTTACCGTGCCCACAGAAGAGAGAAGCAAGAAACAGAAACAGTCTTGAACGCAGAACAGGGAGCTTCAGGTGTCTGTTATGTCTGAAGTGGTTCTTAGGTCTGTTTGCTTTTCAAGACTCTCTCAAGATTATTCACTTAAGTGAGAAGTCAAAGTGAATTTCAAATTTAAGGCCAAACTAGCCTGGCATAGAGTTTTTTCTGATTTGGCTATTTTGAACCTAAAATTGAAATTCACTTTGAATTCTTACTCCAGTTTAAAACTCTATCTATCATACTGCATTAAAATATTAAAATAAAACGTGTAGTGAAAACCTATCCTAATATGAATCTGGTGAATGCAAAGGGCAACAAATAGACAAAAAGGAGAACTGATGTTGAATAAATTTACTTTAAAATAAATGTCTTTTGGGGACAAATGAAATACAGTTTCTATATAGTTACTAAACCTAAAGTTATTCAAGCCAGGGAACATGCCCAAGGGGACAACCGTTTCATTCAAGAACAAGCATGGCAATAAATCTTGCAAAATTTCAATCAGGCTTTAGCGTAAATTGCTAATGAAAATTTGATTGTAAAGGAGAGTAAGGCTATTATTTTTTCCAAACAGAATGAAAAAGCCCAATAAGGAAACAGTGAGCATTGATGGGTATGTTGATTGTTGATGCTAATTAGAGGACAGTATTAAACAATGTATTTTCTTTAGAGGAAATATTGTTCTCATTTATAACACTTGACTTGTAATGCTAAACCACTCAAGAAAAAGCCCACTGGAAGCATGAGATGTAGCTAAATATTTCTATTATTATTATTACCAATTTATTTTTAATCACGCACTTTATGTACTCTAGATGAGATTCAAAAGTTTGAGAAAAAAAATGTTCTTTTCCAACAAAGAACTGCAGTGACTTGAGAATTGGATTGTGAATGCTTAATAAACTCACAAAAACATGTGGATTTTGCTAATTTGGTCATATAGCAAGTTAGTTCTTGAATCACCACAGCTCATAGACCTATGGTCACATCCATTCTAGTAAGGGTCACCTTTGGCCATCTCCAGTTGGCTTCTGGGGCCATGAACACTAATTCATTCATTTTGGGATATAGACGAATTCATCCAGACTTACCTACCTCACAGTGGTTTTAAGAAAACATTTAAGGGAGACACAGAACAGATCCAACTTTTTTCAGTATGTGATTGTCTGTTGTACACATAGTATGGATAGAATCACATATTTTTTGCCTGCCTAGATTTACATTTAATATTTTATTTGGAAGGGTGAATAAAGAAGTCAGATATATATATATATTTTTTTTTTTAATGATTCTTTTAGTCTCAGGCGGTAGGTAATACATAACATAGAGACAGTTGACATGCACGTGCATTACACCAACAAGGTATACAATAGCAGATCACAAAGTATAGCAAAAGTGGTGTACTGAATAAAACAGAATCATAGGTATTCATTAAAACATAGCATAGTCATAAGTACTTAAATAACAGCTAAATAACAGCTAGCTTCAGGTCGGCATAGAAGAGGTATGTTTTTTAAAACTACCCACTGGTAGTCTCTTGTCTGGAGTGCCAGATTCTGATACTGTGCTACTAATAATTTCACCTTCAGTGGTGTTGATATATACCTTGGTGCTGGTGAACAACAATTTTTAGCAATCAGCATTTTAGATTGGGAAAGAGGCAGACCATTTTTACTGTATTGCTAGCAACCCACCCTTCCTTGTGAGCAATGTGCAGCAATGGTGGCTGTTAAGATCTTTGCTCTGCTATAAGATAACATGGACCAACATCAATTGCTCACATGGATATTGAAGTATAATATGCAAGATCACTCCGTGTAGTTAACCATGACAACAAACCATGCCTTGCAGAATAGCCAGAAATTGTTTCAATTATTCCACCAGTGGTCTTTCTTTTTACTTTAAAACTTTTTTAAAACATGGTCTGTGGTATTTAAAGTCAGCATATGTTCACTGTCGTAAGGTTCTGATGGAACACTGCTGCTGTTTGTTGCTCACATTATTAATATTTATTATTATTTTTGGCACTTATGTGGCGCCAACTTATTTTGCAGCGCTTTACAATAAAAAAAGGGGGGGGGGGGAATTTAGCAATAAATTAGACAATTACAAATGTTACAGGAACGATAGGCAGATGAGGACCCTGCTCAAATGAGCTTACACTCATTAATTTATTGTCATTACCATCACTGTGTTTATACCTCACAGATAATCACAGAGTGTATTTGGCATTTTTCATTTATATTTTCAATTTTCACATATGTACATTCCGTTTTACTTTCTGGTGTCACTGATGGAATAATTAATCCCCCAATGCCAGCACTGGAGTTATGTGTAAATATGGCAGTTTCAACTTATATTTTAATTTCACACACAGTGTATGTTTATAATTGATACGTACTTATAGAAGCTTATATTTCAGATGCTGTGTGAATTAATGGACAATTGAAATACCAGGAGCCCCTAAAAATCTCATCACATGTAACACTGCAAAACACAACATTTCTGCACAAGATGAATGAACAAATTAAATATATTTACATATTTTCCATGTATAGAGCCTATAACATCACTCAAGACTAATTCCATGTGTTAGTTGAGCACCCCACGTTTAATATATGACACTCGTTTTGTTTTTTTTAGAAATAAAAGCATTTGGTAGAGAACTGGTTAAAAAAATACATACCGATATGTTATTTTACATTCTGACAAAGATATCTGACCAGCACTTTGTTTTTAGTGGAGGAACATAGAAGTTTCATGGAATCTGATAAAAGACGAGAGAGTTTCATACATGTTTTATTTCCATTTTGAAATGTGTCAGTATTAAAGAGATAACATCAAAGCAAGACTCCTTCAGTCAGTGCTGCATCAATTAACAAAACTGCTGAGCCGGACAGACGAGGAGGTGCTGCAGTCCACAATCCCTCAGGTGGACCTTGGCCAGACATCAATACTGTGTGTGAGTTTCTCTTTCTGCAGTGGAGTCAGACCTCTATCAGCAGTTCATCTTTATTTATTAACTTTGGATCTGTGTGCCTTCCTGTGATTTTGTTTTATTTTTTGCTTTTAACTATCTTGTTGCCACGTGGTCCATACTTTAAAAGAATGGTTGTGGTGGTGGCATGGGGGATTCCAAATTCTATTTCACAAGTAACAGAATTCAGTTTTGCTTTCCTGATGACCAAAACAGATGTGCATTCCCTTTTATAGAAAATGAAAATCATCTAGCAGTGTTTTTTACTAAGGTGAGAATTTAGAGTAGTAGTCAAACTGAAGGCACAGCTCACTGTGACGATGTTTACAGTTTTTTTACCTTAAATTTGAATTCTCACTGTAGTGTTTAACCCTGGAGGAGAAAGATGTATTTAAAGGTTGGATGCGGATCATGGGAAAGTGTCTTCAAAACTCATCGATGTTGCCAAAAGTAACCATTATTGGACTGGAATAATTCGAGAAATGGCCATGTCTTTTGAAATGTGCATCTGCAATAACGCAGTCTTGGGAAACACAAACATAGAATTAAAGAAAATGGAACAGCAAATGGAAGTTTTTATTTTAGATAATCTATAGTTCGTAAAAGATTTGTAAATTCTAACAGAGATCAATTTGTATACTTTAGCAATATCTATCAGTATCCAGAACTCAAAGGTAGTGGAATATTACTTTGCGAAATACTGTTCTCGAGACTATAACACCATAAATGAAACAAGTAATTTAGGAATGATTCAGAGGAGAGTTACTAAGAAGCAATGAAGCATCCCACTTGTCCATTGACACAACTGTGTATATTACCGGGTTAATTGAAGTTCAGCTGCCATGAGGCCAATTTATTGTCTTCAGCTGAGAAGTGGATTAACTAATGACCAGGTATACATCTGGGACATTAACTTCATTTATGCGCCTGCTTTGAGTTCATTTTTACTATCTCTGTCGGTGACATGACATAGAGCAGATGTGGCTCTTGTTGAAGAAAATTGTACTGCATCTCCTTAAAAAGAATTGTAGAACTGATTACTATCTGTTCATCAAAAAAGCAAGTTGCTTTGCTTTACATGTGCATTATTTCTGTTTGATGTAGAGACTGTGATTGCATGCTCTTCGTCATATGCATTATGGTAACACTAAAAGGTTAAAGATAGTCAACAGACATATTAATATGTTAATCTATTTACGAATGCTCTCCAGTAATTTGTGGTCATCTCGGAATATCATTATATAGTCTACATACATTATGGAGAATCTTAATATGTAGATTAATCATTACTGGAAGCAAAATAATTGCCAAAGAGACACAATTCACACAGATTAATCCCCAATGAAAGTAATTAAATGAAACTAGAACCTGTTAAACTTGGGGTATTGATATGTGACTAAATATGTATAAATTGGGTCAAAAAATTTAAAAAAAAATATCTAGGTCTCAAATCTTTCAAACGATAAAAAACACTCTTCTATTTCAAATTAAAAATTTAGGGATTTAGTCTATGGCCATATTGTGCTAAACTAAGCACCACATCAGCATCAGTGGATTGTGACTTTTGGTCATGTTTTCTATATAAAATATAAATATGTTCATATGCATTATTAATTACAATAAAACCCACCATTTACACCAACACAAATAGTAGCAAATAAAAACAAGGTGTCAAATGAAGCTTATAACTAGACACATAATACATATGAAGATAACTACCTCATGACACATAAGTGCAATAATCATTACAAATAAACCAGACAAAATAATAATAAATTGGCAAAAAAAAAATTTGAAATAACAACTGAAGTGGCAAATAGACACAAGAGAAACTATATATGCAAGAAAAGAGAGAGAGAGAGGTCAAACTTCACTATATAGGACCTATTGTATTATATTAAAGGACCACTCTAGGCACCCAGACCACTTCAGCTTAATGAAGTGGTCTGGGTGCCAGGTCCTTCTAGGGTTAACCCATTTTTTCATAATTATAGCAGTTTCAGAGAAACTGCTATAATTATGAATGGGTTAAGCCTTCCCCCTAATCCTCTAGTGGCTGTCTCATTGACAGCCACTAGAGGCGCTTGCGTGCTTCTCACTGTGATTTTCACAGTGAGAGCACGCCAGCGTCCATAGGAAAGCATTGTAAATGCTTTCCTATGAGACCGGCTGAATGCGCGCGCAGCTCTTGCCGCGCGTGCGCATTCAGCCGGCAGGGCGGATCGGAGGCGGAGAGGAGGAGGAGAGCTCTCCGCCCAGCGCTGGAAAAAGGTAAGTTATTACCCCTTTCCCCCTTCCAGAGCCGGACGGGAGGCGGTCCCTGAGGGTGGGGGCACCCTCAGGGCACTATAGTGCCAGGAAAACGAGTATGTTTATCTGGCACTATAGTGGTCCTTTAAGTCAGCAGCTGCTGCATAGGTTCTCCTTATGTAGACTGAATAAAGTTCTCAATGTTGTATCAAAAGTACAAATGCTGTAGACAGCTATCATGCATGCATATGCTGAACAAAAGCACTCTCTTACATTCCTTACACATAGGGCTCAGGCCTGTGAACAGACACATTTACAAAACTATGAAAAGGGCTGTTTATAAGCTGATTTAATTAGTTCATTTAGGAGTCCCACTTATAAGATCAGATGCTGGAGTTGAACTACATATCCCATGTAGCTCAGCAGGACTGGATTAAAATGTCATGGGCAAAACTGCACGATGGTTCCTTCTCTCCCCTTTGGGCTGATAATAAGACAAAGATGTAATTAAATCCTCTATTCATTGATAGGTGAGTGACTAATAAATTATTAGACTATTAATTTAATCATCTAAGCCATGAAGCTGGGTAGCATTGAATACTTTTCTGCAGGTTGTTTTGAAGTTGCATCAATTATTTTGAAGTTTTTATAGATGTCTATTTAATGGGCAATAGAAAACGATACATGGGCATTGTTGGAATTGTACATTGAAAAACTATTTGCACGGCAGACTAAAGTATTACTCTCATGGGATTAACTAAAGTGAGAATTCAAAGTGAATTCAAAGTGAATTTCAAATTCAAAGTAAAAATAGTTTTAAAAAATCGTTGTGCCGGTTATTTTTTCAGTACGGCTACTCTGGCATTAAATTCTAAATTTACTTTGAATTCTCACTTTAGTAAAACAACATGTATGCATTGATACCTGTTAATGTAAAACATTTTACTATTCAATGTATACCTGCCAACAAATACCTATTGAATGACAAATGTGAACATGTCTATACTCTCTCTACTTTTTATCTGTACCTCATTTATCAATTCCCATTATTGTCCCATCTTTAGAAAAATCCAACAAAGTACAGATGAAAAAATAAAAGGTACTGCTCTTTCTCAAATATATTTATTGACATAAAGTTTGCCTGAATTGAAACTGGGTACTGTGAGTATAATTTGTTGCCACATATATATTTTGCCCTGATATGTCATAAATGTCATGTAGACATGTGCAATTTGTTTTGTTTCGAATGAAAATTCATCCCAATTTTGGCAATTTGGACATCCAGATGCTTTCGAATGTCCAAAATGCCAAAGTGCCTAATTTCAAAATTGCCAAATTGACGAATTTTGGAAGTGCCGAGCCGAACCGAACTGAAGTGCCGAATTTCAGAAGTGGCGAAGTGCTTTGGATTTCTGAAAAGTGGCAAAACAAGAGAGGGAGGGAAAATTATGTCAATGATGACAGGAATCTACCCCTAACCCTAGATGTGTAAGTGTTTGATGTGTTTAGGGTTAGAGGTAGAGTTAGGGTTAGGGGTAGAGTTAAAGGAAGGGAAGGGGTAGCGTTTGGGAATTGCCAAAGCCCTTAATTGCCAAAGCCCCCAATTGCCAAAGTCCTGAATTGCAGAAGTCCTAAATTTCGGAAGTACCGAACCGAAGTGCCGAAGTCCCAAATCTCTGAAGTCCTGAATTTCGGAAGAGCCAAAGCGAACCAAATTTGTTGCCCATGCGCATCCCTACATGGTGTGCTTAACCTCTTATTGACCAGACCGTTTTTAAATTTTCTTACCGGTAAGGACCAGGGCTGTTTTTACATTTTTGCTGTGTTTGTGTTTAGCTGTAGTTTTCCTCTGACTCATTTACTGTACCCACACATATTATATACTGTTTTTCTCGCCATTAAATGATCTTTCTAAAGATACATTTATTTTCATCATATCATATAATTTACTCTAAAAAATATATAACATATGGTGAAAAAATTAAAAACAACAACATTCTAACTTTGACCCCCAAAATCTGTTACGCATCTACAACCACCAAAAAATAACCATGCTAAATAGTTTCTAAATTTTGTCCTGAGTTTAGAAATACCTGATGTTAACAAGTTCTTAGCTTTTTTTTTTTTTTTTGTGTGTGCAAATTATAGGGCTATGAGTACAAGTAGGATATTGCTGTTTCAAAATATATATTTTTAAAATGTATCAATAGTGACATTGTAACACTGTTATCTGTCATAAATCTCTGAATCACACCTTACATGTACATATTTTTTTAAAGTAGACAACCCAGGGTATTCAATACGGGGTATGTCTAGTCTTTTTAGTAGCCACTTAGTCAAAAACACTGGCCAAAGTTAGCATGTATATTTGTTTGTGTGTTAAAAATGTGACCATTCTTTCAGAGCAATCACATGGCACACTGGGTCCTAATTTGAAGAGGCTGTCAGACAGTCCTCCTAGATGGAGAGGAACACCGTTCACCCACCGGCGATCGGCTATTCCTAGGGGGGAGGTTAATACCAATATATGTGAATAGGAATACCTATTCCTGGGAGGGAGTTAATACATATATATTTTTTTTTTGATTGATTTTTTTAAATTTTTTAAAAATATATATTTTATCTTCACTGAGTGACTTTACCTTTTGAGGCACTCAGCACACAGGCAGAGCATTGCAAGCCTTCCTGATGGCTTCCAATGCTCTGCTACACTGCAGGGTGCCACGTGGGGCAACCAGGAAGTGATCGCTCCTGGGGAGCAATCACTTGGCGGCACAGCAATCAGGAGAGATATTGTAGGATGCCTCGACATCGAGGCATCGCTGCAATACCGTTAGAGCGGCTGGAAGTGATCACGATTGCTTCCAGCGCTCTTATTTGCCGTGGATGTACCAGGTAAGTCTGAGGTCGTTAACAACCTTTATTTGACGGACGTACCTGGTAAGTCATCCGTCGTGAAAGGGTTAAAA